AATTGCAAATGGCAGTTCGCTCTTGATTTGGCTTTCTTTAAGTCTGTTATTGGTGTAGATGAATGCTTGTGATTTTTGCACATTGATTTTATATCCTGAGACTTTGCTGAAGTTGCTTATCAGTTTCAGGAGTTTTTGGGCTGAGGCAATGGGGTCTTCTAGGTATACTATCATGTCGTCTGCAAATAGAGACAATTTGGCTTCCACCTTTCCTATTTGAATACCCTTTATTTCTTTTTCTTGCCTGATCGCTCTGGCTAGAACTTCCAGTACTATATTGAATAGGAGTGGTGAAAGAGGGCATCCTTGTCTAGTGCCAGATTTCAAAGGGAATGCTTCCAGTTTTTGCCCATTCAGTATGATATTGGCTGTCGGTTTGTCATAAATAGCTTTTATTACTTTGAGATACGTTCCATCGATACCGAGGTTATTGAGGGTTTTTAGCATAAAGGGCTGTTGAATTTTGTCAAATGCCTTCTCTGCGTCAATTGAAATAATCATGTGGTTTTTGTTTTTGGTTCTGTTTATGTGGTGAATTACGTTTATAGACTTGCATATGTAGAACCAGCCTTGCATCCCCGGGATGAATCCTGCTTGATCATGGTGAATAAGTTTTTTGATTTGCTGTTGCATTCGGCTTGCCAATATTTTATTGAAGATTTTTGCATCTATGTTCATCATGGATATTGGCCTGAAGTTTTCTTTTCTTGTTGGGTCTCTGCCGGGTTTTGGTATCAGGATGATGTTGGTCTCATAAAATGATTTGGGAAGGATTCCCTCTTTTTGGATTGTTTGAAATAGTTTTAGAAGAAATGGTACCAGCTCTTCCTTGTGTGTCTGGTAGAATTCGGCTGTGAACCCGTCTGGACCTGGGCTTTTTTTGTGTGGTAGGCTCTTAATTGCTGCCTCGACTTCAGACCTTGTTATTGGTCTATTCTTAGTTTCAGCTTCCTCCTGGTTTAGGCTTGGGAGGACACAGGAATCCAGGAATTTATCCATTTCTTCCAGGTTTACTAGTTTATGCGCATAGAGTTGTTTGTAATATTCTCTGATGATGGTTCGAATTTCTGTGGAATCTGTGGTGATTTCCCCTTTATCATTTTTATTGCATCTATTTGGTTGTTCTCTCTTTTCTTTTTAATCAATCTGGCTAGTGGTCTGTCTATTTTGTTGATCTTTTCAAAACACCAGCTCTTGGATTTATTGATTTTTTGAAGGGTTTTTATGTCTCAGTCTCCTTCAGCTCAGCTCTGATCTTAGTTATTTCTTGTCTTCTGCTGGGTTTTGAGTTTTTTTGATCTTGCTCCTCTAGCTCTTTCAATTTTGATGATAGGGTGTCAATTTTGGATCTCTCCATTCTCCTCATATGGGCACTTATTGCTATATACTCTCCTCTAGAGACTGCTTTAAATGTATCGCAGAGGTTCTGGCATGTTGTGTCTTCATTCTCATTGGTTTCAAAGAACTTCTTTATTTCTGCCTTCATTTCATTGTTTACCCAGTCAACATTCAAGAGCCAGTTGTTCAGTTTCCATGAAGCTGTGCGGTTCTGGGTCTGTTTCTGAATTCTGAGTTCTAACTTGATTGCACTATGGTCTGAGAGGCTGTTTGTTATGATTTCAGTTGTTTTGCATTTGTTGAGCAGTGCTTCCAATTATGTGATCAATTTTAGAGTAAGTGTGATGTGGTGCTGAGAAGAATGTGTATTCTGTGGATTTGGGGTGGAGAGTTCTGTAAATGTCTATCAGGTTTGCTTGCTCCAGGTCTGAGTTCAAGCCCTGGATATCCTTGTTGATTTTTTGTCTGGTAGATCTGTCTAGTATTGACAGTGGAGTGTTAAAGTCTCCCACTATTATTGTGTGGGGGTCTAAGTCCTTTTGTAAGTCCTTAAGAACTTGCCTTATGTATCTGGGTGCTCCTGCATTGGGTCCATATATGTTTAGGATCGTTAGCTCTTCTTGTTGTATCGATCCTTTTACCATTATGTAATGGCCTTCTTTGTCTCTTTTGATCTTTGTTGCTTTAAAGTCTATTTTATCAGAGATGAGGATTGCAACTCCTGCTTTCTTTTGCTCTCCATTTGCTTGGTAAATCTTCCTCCATTTCTTTATTTTGAGCCTTTGTGTATCCTTGCATGTGAGATGGGTTTCCTGGATACAGCACACTGATGGGTTTTGGATTTTTATCCAATTTGCCAGTCTGTGTCTTTTTATTGGTGCATTTAGTCCATTTACATTTAGGGTTAATATTGTTATGTGTGAATTTGATACTGCCATTTTGATGCTAAGTGGCTGTTTTGCCTGTTAGTTGTTGTAGATTCTTCATTATGTTGAAGCTCTTTAGCATTCAGTGTGATTTTGGAATGGCTGGTACTGGTTGATCCTTTCTATGTGTAGTGCCTCTTTTAGGAACTCTTGTAAAGCTGGCCTGGTGGTGACAAAATCTCTGAGTACTTGCTTGTTCACAAAGGATTTTATTTTTCCTTCACTTCTGAAGCTCAGTTTCGCTGGATATGAAATTCTGGGTTGAAAGTTCTTTTCTTTAAGAATCTTGAATATTGGCCCCCACTCTCTTCTGGCTTGTAGTGTTTCTGCTGAGAGATCTGCTGTGAGTCTGATGGGCTTCCCTTTGTGGGTGACCTGACCTTTCTCTCTGGCTGCCCTTAGTATTCTCTCCTTTATTTCAACCCTATTGAATCTGACGATTATGTGCCTTGGGGTTGCTCTTCTTGCGGAATATCTTTGTGGTGTTCTCTGAATTTCTTGCAATTGAGTGTTGGCCTGTCTTGCTAGGTGGGGGACATTTTCCTGGATGATGTCCTGAAGAGTATTTTCCAGCTTGGATTCATTCTCTTCGTCCCCTTCTGGTACACCTATCAAATGTAGGTTAGGTCTTTTCACATAGTCCCACATTTCTTGGAGACTTTGTTCATTCCTTTTTGCGCTTTTTTCTCTAATCTTGGTTTCTCTTTTTATTTCATTGAGTTGGCCTTCGACTTCAGATATTCTTTCTTCTGCTTGGTCAATTCGGCTATTGAAACTTGTGCATGCTTCGCGAAGTTCTCGTATTGTGTTTTTCAGCTCCTTTAATTCATTCATATTCCTCTCTAAGTTATCCATTTATGTTATCATTTCCTCGAATCTTTTTTCAAATCTTTTTTCAAGGTTCTTAGTTTCTTTGCATTGATTTAATACATGATCTTTTAGCTCACAAAAGTTTCTCATTATCCATCTTCTGAAGTCTAATTCCATCATTTCGTCCCAGTCATTCTCCGCCCAGCTTTGTTCCCTTGCTGGTGAGGAGTTTTGGTCCTTTCTAGGAGGCGAGGTGTTCTGGTTTCGGGTGTTTTCCACCTTTTTGCGCTGGTTTCTTCCCATCTTTGTGGATTTGTCCGCTGGTCGTCTGCGTAGTTGCTGACTTTTCGATTGGGTCTCTGAGTGGACACCCTGAATGTTGATTATGAAGTATTTCTGTTGCTTGGTTTTCCTTCTACCAGTCTAGCCCCTTCAGTGTACGACTGCTGAGGTCCGCTCCAGACCCTGCTTGTCTTGGGTGCACCTCTAGCAGCTGTGGCACAGCGAGGGATGCTACCAGTTTCTTTTTCTGCTATGTTCGTCCCAGGATGGTGCCTGCCTAATGTCAGTCTTTTGGATATAGAGGGGTCAGGGAGCTGCTTGAGGAGACAGTTTGTACTTTATAGGGGCTTAATTGCTGAGCTGTGAGCTCTGTTGTTCATTCAGGGTTGTTAGACTGCTATGTTTGATTCTGCTGCAACAGAGCTCATTAAAAAAAACCCTTTTTTTCTCAAATGCTCTGTGTTGAGGGGTTTGGGCTTTATTTTTGGATGTCCGTTGAGGTCCTGCCCAGCTAGGACACAGACTAGCCACTGTTTGCCTGCCGAGGCTTTGCCCTGCTTTGTGAGGCTCGCCCTGGCTCTGTTTTTCTGCTGTTCTCTGCCACGCCCTGCAGCAGAGTCTCTCTGTTGTAGCAGGTTGCCTCGGCAACGGCAGGCTGCATCAGCAATGGGCGTGTATCTCAGTTGGGGCGGGTTGCCTCGGTAATGGTGGCCGCCCCTCCCCCTCAGAGCGTCTCGGGCCGTCTGCACCGGGCTTGTTTGAAATTGCGGTTTTGTTCGTCCTACTGGTCCAACCCTAACGCTCTGTTCCTGCAATGCCCTGGGCTGGCCCACTGTCCAAGTCTAGCTCACTCTCAAGTCCAGCCCTCTCACATCTCCGGTTGCCAGTTCAACGGGGCACCCGGACAAGCGCGCCCTGTGGGGAGCGCTGGGTAGGGCCGGCCGCTGCCACCCCCGCTGCCGGCTTCGCCAGGTGGAAAATCTGCCTGGCGTCCCGCGTCTCCTCTTCACTTGGGAATTTCCCCGTTCCGTGGGCAACAAAGATCAGTCTGGAAATGCAGCTCAGACTCACCTCTCCGCAGACACGAGAACTCCAATCCTGGGTTGTTCTCACAGTGCCATTTTGAGTCCTCCCTAGTCTTGGATTATAGTAGTCTGCAGACACACGTTGTGTGAATGACATCTGAAGGTGTTATCTTACACTGTAAGTCATTTTTCAGGCTACACATACAATATTTCATAAAGAAAATGTATTTCTAGTGAATTTCTAAACTTGTTTGTAAATAGTAACTTCTTTTAAATTAGCTAACTCTAAATGATCTAATTAACTAATTTTCAATTTGCAAAACATGAAAAAGAAGTAATTTTCAACTTGTAACTTTGCTGAGAAAATTCAAATATGCTCTTCGCAGGTTTACTAGCAGAAACTTACCAATTAACAGAATGTTTCTTTCCTCGCTACTTCACTAACATATATGGCCCTCGGAAGAGAATGGAGTGAGAAATTAAAAACATGAGAACTAGAAAGGAAACAAGAACATAGGAGTTTTTATGAGGATTATAAACCACATGGAAGAGCCAGATGACAAAATAAACATGTTTATTTTCTAACAAAACACATTTTAATATCCATATTTAACTGCAGACTTGCCTTAAAACAAGAAAAAGAGAAGAAAGAAAATGCCGAAATGTTGTGTAATAAAGTTAATGAACAGTTAAGAATAAAAGAAGAGGAATGTAGGGGAAAGGCTGAAATGATTCAAGGACTTAAATGGTCTCTGAGAAAACTTATTAAGGAATTGAGGATGGTAAGAAACAACTTGGATCTGGTAAATTAATCTTTGGTGAAAACTTCATGTTTCTAACTTAATGTTTGATCAGTATTGCTTATACTTTTTTTGGCTTCGTGTATATCATTTAGGTTGAAAACAAACCAAAACTGTTATCTCCTCTTAAAAATGAACTATGACATTTATAGCTAAAATTATTTATTGTAAACCTTGGCATCTAAATAGATGCTCAGTTTATGTTTTCAGAATGGAAGAAGAGTTTAATCACTAAATGAGTTTACACATTTTTATGTTAAAATACAGGCTAAATAGCTTTGAAACTATAATGACACTAGTTAAATGTTTTGAAAGAAATTTTATTTTACAATGCTGTATCTTCCCGTATTTAAGAACTGTTTTTCCTCTTTGACAAATGTAATTGTTATGTATGCAATTAATATTTGAGTGATTCTTGAGGGATAAAAGTTCTTGTGTTTTAACAGGCTACTTTCTTTTTTTTTTTTTAATTTTTTATTGGATTATAGGTTTTGGGGTACATGAGCAGAGCATGCAAGACAGTTGTGTAGGTACACACATGGCAGTGTGCTTTGCTTTTCTTCTCCCCTTCACCCACATTTGGTATTTCTCCCCAGGCTATCCCTCCCCACCTCCCCCTCCCACTGGCCCTCCCCTTTTCCCCCCAATAGACCCCAGTGTTTAGTACTCCCCTTTCTATGTCCATGTGTTCTCATTTTTCATCACCCACCTATGAGTGAGAATATGCGGTGTTTCATTTTCTGTTCTTGTGTCAGTTTGCTGAGGATGATGTTTTCCAGATTCATCCATGTCCCTACAAACGACACAAACTCATCATTTCTGATTGCTGCATAATATTCTATGGTGTATATGTGCCACATTTCTCCAATCCAGTCTATTATCAATGGGCATTTGGGTTGATTCCAGGTCTTTGCTATTGTAAACAGTGCTGCAATGAACATTCGTGTACATGTGTCCTTATAGTAGAACGATTTATAGTCTTTTGGATATATACCCAGTAATGGGATTGCTGGGTCAAATGGAATTTCTATTTCTAAGGCCTTGAGGAATCGCCACACTGTCTTCCACAATGGTTGAACTAATTTACACTCCCACCAACAGTGTAAAAGTGTTCCTTTTTCTCCACATCCTCTCCAGCATCTGTTGTCTCCAGATTTTTTAATGATCGCCATTCTAACTGGCGTGAGATCGTATCTCAATGTGGTTTTGATTTGCATCTCTCTGATGACCAGTGACGATGAGCATTTTTTCATATGATTGTTGGCCTCATATATGTCTTCTTTCGTAAAGTATCTGTTCATATCCTTTGCCCACTTTTGAATGGGCTTGTTTGTTTTTTTCCTGTAAATCTGTTTGAGTTCTTTGTAAATTCTGGATATCAGCCCTTTGTCAGATGGGTAGACTGTGAAAATTTTTTCCCATTCTGTTGGTTGCCGATCCACTCTAGTGACTGTTTCTTTTGCCAGTGAAATCAGAGAGGACACAAACAGATGGAGAAACATTCCATGTTCATGGTTAGGAAGAATTAATATCGTGAAAATGGCTATACTGCCCAAAGTAATTTACAGAATCAACGCTATCCCCATCAATCTACCATTGACTTTCTTCACAGAACTGGAAAAAACCACCATGAACTTCATATGGAACCAAAAGAGAGCCCACATAGCCAAGTCAATTCTAAGCAAAAAGAACACAGCAGGGGGCATCACACTACCGGATTTCAAACTATACTACAGGCTACTTTCTTTTAACCATTTTATAAGAGGGGCTCTGCTCTTTTTTTTTTTTTTCCTTTTTTTTTAGGCAGAGTCTCACTCTGTTATCCAGGCTGCAGTGCAGTGGTGCAATCTCGGCTCACTGCAACCTCCACCTCCTAGGTTTAAGTGATTCTCCTGCCTCAGCCTCCGAAGTAGCTGGGACTACAGGCGTGCACCACAATGCCTAATTTATGTATTTTTAGTAGAGATGGGGTTTCACCATGTTGGCCAGGATGGTCTCCATCTCCTGACTTCATGATCCTCAGACCTCGGCCTCCAAAAATGCTGGGATTACAGGCGTGAGCCGCCATGCTCAGCCAAATGAGGCTCTGCTCTTAATTAACCCTTTAGTCTTTTTTTCAGTGCTATTAGACAAACACCTCTATGTTATCTCTATGTCAAGCAGCAGCAAACAGATGCCCAGCAGCAACTTTTTGAAGAACAGAATGCCAGAATAGTACAAGATCAGATTCTGACCAGTAAACAAAAGGAGCTAGAAACGGCTCAAAAGAAAATGGATTCTGAGGTATTTTCTTTGGCCATTTTCAGATATGTTTTTGTAGGTGAATGTAATTTTAAAAACAACTCTATGCAACTTGGAATTCTAATGGATTTTTGAATCTCACACACACACACACATATTTGGGGGTGGTGACAGTGGTTCTGGAACTTTTGGCCCATTGTATAACGTCATTTTCTTAATTCAACTTCATTTGTCTGCAAGGGTCAAGTAGTGACTTTCACAGTGGCCTTATCCAAAGGAGAAACATTTGTTATTATTCATAGGAATTGATGATCTTTCCACAATCTCAAAACCCTTGCTAACAACAAACATTCCAGCTTTCAGACATGATTTTATCTTTCTAATATATTAATGGAGAGGTTAGATAATTATTTCTACTGGTAGTAAGGATGAAATGTATAGCCAGTTCAGAGGCCGTACTTCAGATGCCATACCCCTTACTTTTGGGGACGTCACAGTTTGCTCCAAGTAGCATCTCATTTCAGCACAAAGAGCTTTGAAAACAATGATATGCCATAACAGAAACTTAGGGATGATTTGTTGATAACTATTTTGTTCTTAGAAAACTACTTCAGTGTATTTTCCCCTGTTTCATGCTTATTTCTGTTTCAAACACTGTAAAGAGGAAACAGAAGTTATTGCAATAGCAGATAGTCTGAGGATTTTCTAAGAAACGCTCTATAACTTCTTTTTTACCACTGGTGTTTTGAATTAAAAAGCTTCTTTTATATTTACATATTTACAACACAGAAGTAACCATGATTTGGTGGACGAGCACTAGAAGTAAAGTAAGAGGACCTGGGGAAAATCCTGCAGCTTGCATATTTTTGACCTCTCCTTTCAGAATTATGATATAAATGAGCTCAGTGATGTATGTAGAAGTGCTTGGTACAAGGCCAGGTGCAGTGGCTCATGCCTGTAATCCCATCGCTTTGGGAGGCTGAGGTGGGTGAGTCACTTGAGCTCAGGAGTTCCAGAACAGCCTGGGCAACATGGCAAAACCCTATCTCTACAAAAATTACAAATAAATTTAGCCGGGTGTTGGGATGTGCACCTCTAGTCTCATCTACTCAGGAGGCTGAAGTGGGAGGATCACCTGAGCCCAGAAGGCCAAGGCTGCAGTGAGTCTTGATTGTGCCACTGCCCTCTAACCTGAGTGATGGAGTGAGACCCTGTCTCAAAAAAAAAAGCAACTAATATAATGCTTAGATTTAGCATTTATGAATAAATGTAATTCTTATATAACTGACAATAAAAATGGTAGAAAAATAAAATAGCTACAGGATATTCTCAGGAAAAAAAAAGCACTTAAGGTACATTGGGAAATTTCCTCTGTCTGTTGTGGAAATTCATGCCAACAAGAACAGAGAGACCAAGAGACACAAGAGAACCTCTTTATTGGAGCTCCAGCTGACAATGGCCTTACTGCCTGTAATGCCTGCCAGCCCCAGTCAAAGGAAAATTCTTTGCTTATATTAGTTTTGGTATGGGAAGATAAAGCAGGAGAAAAAAATAGGTTTAAACAAAGACAGTTAGTCATTGACTTGTGACAAGTTTACAACCTTGAGAATATGTATATTTTCTGCGTGGTTATCTTGCTCCCATGGCTGTCTCACTCCCACGGCTGGTAGCTGGGGAAGAGAACAGGTTTTTTGTTTTTTGGGGGTTTTTTGGCAGAAATTATCTTGTGAGCTGTGGGTACAAAGATATGCTTGGGTACCTTATCTTGGAAGGAGGAGGCTATACTGGGTCTCCTTTAGCTAACTTTAGGCAATTTAGGCTGAGAGGGGTGGTTTACTTGCTCCTCTGCTCTTTATAACTATTTTTGTGGCTTACAGGACAAAATGAAGGCTGATATGTCTGACCTACGAGCTAGGAATGAGATTCTTTCTGAAAAACATTCTAATGTGGAAAATGAAATTAGCCTACAAATTCAGCTCGATAATGCAAGAGATGCTGTTGGAGAACAGAATTTGATTTTGGAACGTGTGCAAAGAGACCTCAGCCAAACACAATGTCAGAAGAAAGAAATTGAACAAATGCACCAAATTCAACGAAGAAAACTGAAGAAATACATTGCAAAGCAGGAATCTGTAGAAGAGAGATTATTTCAATTATAAAATGAAAATACGTTGCTTCGACAGCAACTGGATGATGCTCACAAGAAAGTGAACAGACAAGAAAAGACAATCAGTTCTCTCCATGACCAGTTTCAGGCTCTTGCCAGTAATATTCAATCTCAGAGTGAAAAGCCGAGTCTTCTACTACAAGAGACTGAGGAAGTAAGTATTAAGAAAGATAAATATTTTTCAACCTTTCTAAAAGAAAATTTAAAGTAATATTTGATTATGGCTAAATGTTTTATCTAGGTGAATATAAAAATATATAGTTTGTAAACAATGTGAATAAAGTATTTAACGTGTAAAAATATATAGATAGATAGATCATAAATGTATTTGCTGTTAAAACAAAGATACTTTACTTTGAGTAAAGAAATTGTGTTACTGTGAAATTGTAAGCTCAGTTAAAGTGTTAGTAGGTACAGATTAACGTTCATAGTGTTGTCTTATGCTGCTGAAATGATCATTGCAATGCCTTTATGGCCATGTTTGGAGACCATGGTGAAGCAGATAAACAGAAATGCTTATACCTGACATGGGTATTTTGAAATTAAGATTAAGCTAGGAGGGTTACTTTGACCATTAATTTCAGATTTTCCAGGTGAACTGAAGTATACTACTATACTTCAGTATATTTTTCCACAATACTTTTCCTTCAGTAGTTTTGCAATGTATGTAAGTTGGTATAACTTTATTTTTATTCATATCAATTTGACTTAAATCTGAGATGATTTCAGTCTCAAATTACTAGTTATGACCTCTCAATTCTTTAAAGGCATTTACTTTTTAATAAATCATAATTTGGGGCAGATGTGAATTTCAGCAAAGCTATGTTAAATGTAATCTTACCACTGGTATTTATAATTTCTTTGAATGTTTTTACAAACAGTTTGCTCATAATTTTCATTTCAAGGCTCACTGCCTGTCATTCGGATATAACTTTGACCAGTACAAAGGTAACTGTGTTTATCTGTGATTTATTTGTTTGGCATTGAGTCCCCATTTTTAAACTAATGAGAGGTGGCAGGATTCACATATAGTGAGAATGGACTGAGTAGGGGAGACACTTGTAGAAGCTGAGGTCAGGAGGGAGGTAGAGGCCAGGTAACCCAGAGCCTCAAAGGCCATTGCAATTTTACTTGTATTCTGAGATAGGAATCTTTTGGAAGGATCTGAGCAGGAAACTGAATACGCAAGGAACTCTGAAGTTGATTGGAGCTTCTAATAAAAAAGAGGGAAAAACATTTCACAGTGTGGGATGTACCACCAGCAGCCCCACCCGATTTCTTTTTGAGACTTCAGTAGGTTGTTAAGCATTGCAGATGTTTCAGGGATGAGTGAATAGTGGGTGAATCTATTGTCTAAGTTAACAGAAAACTGATTTGGCAGAAAGATAGCACCTTCTGTGTCCTTAACTGAATTCAGTAATAGACAAGAATGTGTACACACAAGGAAAAGGTGAATCCATATATGTGTTGATGTTTTTCAAAGTGTATATGTTAGAGCTAAATATTATTACCACAATTTAACAATAAGGTGATTGATACAATCAGTAACAAAAATACTTTCACAGGTAGTTATGAGACAACACCAACTAGAATGGACTGATCCCCTAAAACAACAACCTGCAGCAGAGGCTACATCATTTAATTTAGATGAGACACAGGATTCAAAGAAGAAATTGGGTCAAAGCAGCAGTGAAGTATGTATGAAACCTAACATGTCTACAGTTAATTTATAGGTGGTGAAATGGTGTCGAATGCTTTAGGATACTGATTGAAGTGGATGGCTTTCTTTTGTATTTTTAGGATAATTTTATTATCTTTATAATGCACTTTTTTCTTAACCTCTGGCTTTCATTCTATCCTTTTCTCCTGATAAGTACATACATTTTTAAAATAAGGATCATTTCCAAAGATCCTTAGGAAAGCTGGGAATTATTAGTATTCCTCACAGAAGTTGAGAGGCTTTTTTTTTCCTGTGAAGTATTTTTTAGTGATTTCTCTATTGCCATGGTTAGGCAAGCCAGATTAAATCACAGGATAATGTTTAATGGAATGTTTCAGAAATTGTCTTATTTCTTATCTTTACTTTTGTAAATGGATACAGAATCTGTGTATATTTATTTCATGAATTTCAGGATAACTTGTACAGAAAGGCCATAGTACTGTTCTCCAAAATGCAAATGTTTTAATTTAAAAACTACTTGAAATGTTAGGCACTTTCTTCATTTACCTTTCATTTTAAATATATTGTGCTTTTTTACAAATCACCTACAGTATGTATATCCAAAGTAGAAAATTAAGAGATGTATCTAGATCCTACCACTGAATTTTTTAAAAAACTTTACTGAGACAAAATTCTTATACCACACTGTTTACCCATTGAATGTGTACAAATCATGGTCTCTTAGTGTAGTCACAGTGTTGCATAAACATCACCATCATCAATTATAGGACATTTTCATGACCCTCAAAAGAACCAGCAATCTATTTTGTTTCCATACATTAGCCCATTCTGGACACCACATATCGACTGGATCACACAATATGTGGTGGTCTTTTGTGTCTGGCTTCGTCTACTTAGTATAACATTTTGAAGGTTCATTGTGTTGTAACATGTATCAGTACTTAATTTCATCTTTCTGCTGAGTATTGTTCCACTGTATGGACGTACCATTCATTTTATTTAGCCATTTATCAGTTGATGGACCTTTGGGTTGTTTCCACGTTTTGGCTATTAATCATCCTGCTGTGACCTTTTATGTACAAGTTTTTGTGTTTGCGTATGTGTTCTTCTCTTGGGTATATACTTAGGAGTTGAATTTCTGGGTCCTATAGTAACTCAATGCTTAAGCTTTTGAGGAGCTGACAGTCTGCTTTTCAAAGTGGTTGCACCATTTTACATTCTCATCAGCATTGTATGAAGGTTCTAACTTCTTCACATCTTTGCCAGCATTTTTCATATTTTTGATTTAAAAAGGATTCCAACCCAGAGGTATAAAGTGGTATCATGTCATTGTGGTTTTGATTTACATTTCCCTAATGATGAATGACTGTAAGCCTCTTTTCATGTGCTTATGAGCCATTTGTATATCTTCCTTGGGAAATGTCTATTCAAATCATTTGCCCACTCTAAAATTGGGTTATCTTAAATTTCAGAATTTTAAGAGTTCTTTATATACTCTAGGTGTAAGTCCCTTATCAGATATATTGTTTCCAAATATTTTCAATGGCTTTCCTTTTTACTCTCTTTCTTATGATTTATTATGTTTTAAAAATTTCTATAATTTTAAGTTGTAGAGAGAAGGTCTCACTAAGTTGCCTAGGCTGATCTTGAACTGAGGTCAAGCAATCCTCCCACCTCAGCCTCCCAAAATGTTGGGATTACAGATGTAAGCCACCATGCCCAACCTCCTTTTTCTTTCTCAATGGTCTCCGTTCAAGCACAGAAGTTTCGCATTTCGATGAAGTCCAGTTAATCTATTTTTCTGCAGTCACAAAGATCTATGGCTATGTTTTCTCCTAGGAATTTTATAATTTTAGTGGTTCTATTTTGTTAGTTTTATATATGACATTTGGTGGAAATCCACCTTTATTCTCTTGCACGTGGATATACAGTTGTCCCAGCACCATTTGTTGAAAAATCTATTTGTTTCTCATTTTTTTAATACCCTTGTTGAAAATCAGTTGACTATAAAAATGTAGGTTTCTTTTTGGATTCTTGATTCTAATATGTTGAGTTAGTACTGAATCACATTTATGCCAGTACCGAATCACATTTTAGGAGAATTCATTTTCAGTCCTGTTGCTTATTACGAGTTGTCTTATGTAAGAATAGAAATTCAAGTAGTAGAATGTCTTTAATTTCACTTTATGCTTCTTGAAGGAGTGTATGGCCAGCTTATGCCTTGCTGACTCCATGACATGATGAGAGTCAGGCTTGCAAAGACAGATCCCATTGATTTTTTTTCTCCAGTCACACCTTTTGTCTCCAACCCAGTGCCTCTCTCTTCACTCCCATTTCTGTCAATTCTTGGCCACAGAATATGCTGACTGTGTCAACTATTTATTGCATTATGTTTCATTAGCTCATTATAAGTCATGGAGTCATGTGTAGATTTGAACTATCTATGAAGCTCAAGATTAAATCTGGGCTGTCATCTTTCCTCATTGGAAACTGAGCTAATTTATCATGTTGCAGTTCACAGTTAGATCCTCTTTTGACCCAGCACCTGGTTCTCTTATACAACCCTGGGGCTAAATTCTATTCTTGCACAGATCCTACATTCGCAGAAACCAGAGTTCCCTGCATTTACCTCCTTTTGCTTAAATGTAGATGAGTAGCTATGCTTTTCTAGCTCAATACATAATTCATTGAATAAATACTTCAACCTATTCAAAGAACAACTTCCAGGAGTGCAGCAACTAGAAATCAGGTAATGTCCAGGCATTTATCAGGAACAAAGAGTCAAATTAGTTGTATGAATTTCAAAATTTCAGAGCCAATTTATATGATATGGAAAAGCATTTTGTTACAATATAAAGATGAGCTGCTCTTCCCTTCTCCATACAAATGAGGTAAAGGGGAAATCGCATTGAATAGCTTAACACTCAAATGACACTACATTTGTTTTACTTTTGAGATTGTTAAAACTGATTCCATAATTTTTTTAATTTCCTCATTGAGGAAATGAAAATGAAGATTGAATCCTAGACTGATGAATCCAAAGCTGCTGATCACTTTAAAAATTTTAGTTCCTTGAATCAGGTACAATGTCTGATTTTTGGTTATTAATCAAATATTTCTAGTTTTTTCAACTTTATACTTCAAATTATATATCTCCTTCCTTCCTCATCTTCCTTATTTCATAACTCAGGGGACAAATTCTAAAAGGCTCACTGGCTTAGTCATTGGAATTTGTAATCAATGGGAACTTTTTCTAAACTTCCTCCTCAGTAGTTCTTATGTCTTTCTTATGAGACCCAGCACCTGGTTTCTTTCTCATAAGAAAGACATAAGAACCACTGAGGAGGAAGTTTATCATATAAATTATATGTATTTATCATATAAATTTGCTTTCCTAATTCATACAGTTAGAAAAGTTCTGCTGCTTCCCATTAGAGTTGTCATTACTTTAAAGGAGAATAATTTCTACTGGGTCTGTTATTCTATTGCTTATTATATCCTTGTTTAAATTTATTTTTCTGGTTATTTTTTCCTAACAAATTACCCAAATTTGAGTGGCTTAGAACATTTGTTTAGTTCACCAATCTGTGGTTTGGGAAAACCTTGGCCAGGACAGCTTCCCTCTGCTCCCTTCAGCTTCACTTGGGATAAGTCAAAGGCTGAGGGACTAGAATCATCTGAAGATTTGTTCACTAAGATGTCTGTTGCTTACGGCGGCTATTGGTTGGAACTTTAGTTGGGGCAGGATACCCAAATATTCTACACTGGAACTCCTAGGCTCTCTTTGTGGCTAAGTTTTCTCACAACATGGGGGCTGGGTTTCAAGGCGAGCAGTCTGTGGTAGAGAGCCTCTTCAAACCTAATGTAGGAAGCAACATCGTGTTATCACTTAACACATTCTGTTCATTAGAAGCAAGCCGTTAAGTTTCACCCATAGTCTATGTATAGGATGAATTATTTTGCTTTTACTTTTGTTTGTGTGTGTTTTTTTTTAAACATGATGACTTGCTATGTTGCCGAGGCTGGCCTTGACCACCATAGCTCAGGAATTCTTTCTGCCTCAGTCTTGCAGGTAGCTGAGATCACAGGCCTGTGACACCACACCTGGCTTCCTTTTGTTTTTTGTGGACTTGTATAACTACATATTTATGGTATACACAGTGATATTTCTATATGTGTAAACAATGTGTAATGGTCAAATAAGACTATAACATATCCATCACCTCAAACATTCACCATTTCTTTGTGCTATGAACTTGGAAAATCCACTCCTCTAGCTATTTAAAACTATTAGTTAACCAAACCAGGTGTGGTGGTGCACACCTGTAATCCTAGCTACTAGGGAGGCTGAGGCAGAATGGCTTGAACCCCAGAGGCAAAGATTGCAGTGAGCTGAGATTGCATCACTGTACTCCAGCTTGAGTGACAGAGTGAGACTCTGTCTCAAAAAAAAAAAAAGAAAAGTTAACCATATTCACCCTACAATGCAGAAGAAGACTAGAATTCATTCCCCCTATCTAGCTATCATTTCGTATCCATAAAACAACCTCTCCCCATCTTCCACTCCCCCTTACCTTTCTCAGCCTCTGTTACCCACAATTCTACTCTCTACTTCCAAAAACTTTCTTTTAAATTTTAGCTTCCATATGAGTGAGAACATACAGTAATTTTTCTGTGCCTGAATTATTTCACTTAATGTCACTTAATGTTTTCATCCATGTTGCCGTCAATTGCATGATTTTATTTTTTTATGGCTAAATAGTATTCCACTGTGTACATATATCACATTTTCTTTCTTTTTTTGCTTCTCTAATTTATTTTATATATTTTTTATTGCATTTTAGGTTTTGGGGTACATGTGAAGAACATGCAACATAGTTGCATAGGTACACACGTTTCGGTGTGATTTACTGCCTTCCTCCCCTTCACCTACATCTGGCATTTCTCCCCATGCTCTCTCTTCCCACCTCCCCACCCCCAGCTGTCCCTCCCCTGTTCCCACAACAGACCCCA